TATATATATATATATTAAAAAAGGGTTTTAGTAAAATTGTTTTAAAAAAAATTATTACATATTCACAGAATATACCAAAAAAATTGAAAGCTATCTTTAAAGTTCTGAATAACATTGAAATAAATTATAATATTTGTTATTCTCTCAACTACATGTTAATTTCTTTAGTAAGTGGAATTCAAGGTTATTTTTGAATTAATAGTAGAGAATCAAAAAACAGTAAATAGGGAATAAATTGATGACAAAAAAAATGTTATTCCATTGTTTAAATATTTTATAATAAAACCCATTCGATCTTTAAGAAAACGAAACAAAAGAAAAAAAGCAATGGACTAACTTATTTCAAAAGCATAAATAAAAAAGGGTTTATTTTATTATTGATATACAGTAATATGTATATTTTATGCAGTGTAAAAATCCTTTAAAATCTTTTTCATGATATTTTAAAATTTAACTTAAATTCAAAAGATGTTGCGATGAGTAAAAAACACCGTAATGTGAAAAGATTTCATAGTCCTTTTTGGGTGACCATTTCTTTGCAGCATGTTTTGCAAATATTTACCAACTAAAATATCATGCATCCAACTCGTCCAAAAAGGGTGCTACCAACACTCAAAACACTCCTTTGAACACTCACCTTTATTAACTAAAATTTATTAAAGACTACAAAATCGGAAGTAATTAACTAAGATATGAAAATCACCAAATTTTGTATTTTTAATTTTCAACCAATTAAAGATTGTATTTAAAAGAATTTGTTAACAGTATTTCTCTTGATAGTAAAGGCGTAATAAGTTTGTTTAAACTTTAAACAGAAAAGCAATAATAAAGAAATATTTCGTAAAAAAAAATTTCCTTAAATAAAATTTTGCCAAATTAAAAGATACTCAAAATTTCCTCTTCAAATCCTAATTCATATTCTACATTTTAAAAAATAGGAAATTTTTATAAACATTTTTTACTTCTAGACATTTAAAATTAATAAGAGTCTTAAAATCCACCATTACCCCTAAATAAATTGGATGAAAATGACCACTTGGAGATTTTAAATATTAAAAAATAACTAAAACAACGCCAAATTTGCTTAAAAGACTTAACTGGCTCAAATTTAAAAATACTGAAATTGCGCATAACCCAAACTGGGGATCGAAAGTACAACAACGAAGCTGTTTAGACAAGCTTGTCCGTCAATATTTAACGGAAAAGAAAATAAACAAGAAAAATAAAAAGTTTTTCAATAGACTAAAATTAACTTCTCCATGATTTCAAGTAAATTCCTAAGAAACCAACACGACGGTCAGAACTCAAATCATTCACAACAGGTGTTAGTCAAAACGGGAAAAACTTGCCGCCCTTTATTAGTAAAATATTTAATTGATATATCAAAAATGACAAAGCGTCCACAAGACAAATTTCTGTAGAACGACATCAATTAAGCTTAATAGTATAGTACCAATTTATATCAAAGATTATTCAAAACACAATAATCAGTATAATATGGATATTTTATTTAACTACAAAATGGTGTATAGTCGACTATCAATACTAACTAAATGTCAAAGGTAAACCAAATCCACTATTTTATAGAGGCCATACAGTTACTGATGGCAATGCTTCATAACATCCCCTGCCAAAGGGGTTTTGCAATGGGAAGGACTACACAGGAAAGCATGGAGAAAATGATTTGATATTGAGACAAACAAAATGATTGGTGAAGGAAACTATGCTTAATCAGAAAAAAAAAAAAAAACCAAGCCAAATGGTATGGCTAAACCTTAATAGACTCCATATATAATTTTGCTATATACAAATGGCTTGGAACCTGAAAATCAAAAGATAACTAGATTGAAAAGATCTACACATACATACATATATAGATTGCAAAGATCTACAGCCTCCGCTGGTTGAGGAGGCAATCTAGTAACCATTCTTCTCCTACATTGCCAGTTGTATGGTTCTATGTCTCGATGAAGTGCAATAATAGAAGTTGAAAGAAAAGGACCAGAAACAGGAGGTTGTGGAGTCAATTGGTCAAAAAAGATAGAAAAATGAATTAATTAATTATCAAAGTGAAAGACATTGTACCCTGTCTGGGAGATTCCTAGGCAATGGAACTGCAGTAACATATTTTAGGGGGAATGGTTTTTGAGCATTAGTATTTGCATCAGAAGATGATGATGCCTCTGCCCCATCATTTTGTCCCCGTCCATGGAACTTGGCAAATCGGTTGATGACAGAATATCTTTCTAAATCCTGACACTCCACTCTCAAGTCCAAAATAGAGGCTTTGCTATTCAATCTGGCATCACCAAGATGAAATGACATAAAATAAGTACAACAAAATTGTAACTGTCATGTAAAGATTAATTAAAGCATTAGAATGAAATACAAAATAATGGTAGTGGCAGTAGCAGGCAACCAAATTAGAGGGAAAACATGAAGACGACCAATTTTTCCACATGTGCTGTATATGAGCTATGCTATATTGCAAATACTACCATTAAGTCAAAATAAATTCTTAATAGGTAAACAGAAAAAGAGCAGAGAAGATTACGACTAAAGAAATTTTAGCAATACCATCATGTAACAAGATCACTAAACACTAGCTGTTAACGGTTGAATTTACAAAATTTACATTTAATACAAAGTTATTGAGCGGTGTAACACTTAGTAAAAGTTACACTAGTGTCGTTTGAACCCTCCTCCTCAATATATTATTATATTTTAAAAACAGCAAAAGGAAAGGAGTTTTTTCCTATGAACCCTAAAATGCCCCTACAGCTTTTAGTTTTAAAGGCATATTCAAAAATCCAGGCCCCATATATAGGGGCAGAGCAATTGCAACTGTGATGACCACTGTTCCACCCGCAAATGCAACCAATACGGTTGTTTCACTACACTAAAGCACAGTGCAATTGAGCCTTTTGTTGTGGCCAGGGGACACTCCACTCCACTACAACACTATTGACTACCTTTGCTAATAATAAATCAGAATGTTTTGGGATATCAACGATAAGAAACAAGGAAAAATACACAACTAAGATTCCTGGACCAGTTGAAACTGAAGGGAACTTTTTCAGAACTAAAATGCGAGACAAGATCACAACTAAGAATGACTTTTAATAGGATTTTCTCAAGGAATAAATCAGTAGGAGACAGAAATCTAGAGTTTATGGGTTAAGAAAATAAATGCTAACTCAGTGATTTCAGAGTACCATTGAGAGGAATAGACCTTATCAAGAAGGTGGAGCTCGAGGAGAGGGAGCTCTTAAGAGATAAACAGACAAAGGAAATCATTCTGTTTTCTCTAACTTTTCATCAAATAAATTCATTTATCTTGTAGTTTATATAGCTGACATTGTGATTACAAGTGATGATCAAGAGGACACAGGCCATCAAACAAAATCTATTTCAACACTTTCAAACTAAGTACTTAGGTCCTATGGAATTGAGGTAGTTCAGTCAAAGATGGATCCTGCAATCTCTTAAAGGAAGTATGCTCTCAACATTTTGGGGGAGACAGGCCTTATAGATTGCAAGCCAAACAACACCCCTATGGACCCCAACATGAAACTTCTACTCAACCAAAAGGTGTCACATCTTAATTCAAGCAGGTACTGAAGACTAATGGGAAAATTAAACTATATCATCATGATCAAGGCAGACATCTTTCCTATGTCAGTCAGTTTCCTATGAGGGTCATGGGCATGCAGTTCGAATCCTTAGATATATCAAAGGATCACCTGCCACCTGGGAAAGGACTTGTGTACACAGAGGAGAGACATAGCAGGAGATGCAGGTCCAGGCTGTTTTGCTTTTATAGGTGGAAAACTTGTCTCATGGAAAAATAAAAGGCAGAATGTTGTTTCCAGTTCAAGTATCAAAGCTGAGTACCGAGCCATGACTCACACCACATGTAACTTCTTGTGGCAGAGGCCTCAAACACTCAAGGAGCTCCAGTTCTGCAAGGTTGATTCCATGGAGCTAATGAGTGATAATTAGTTAGCCATGTATCTCTCTTCTCATCCAGTTTTTTATTAAAGGACACAACATATAGAGGTTGATTGCCATTTCCTCATACTGATCCTTTTAGGAAGCACTGAGTTTCCATAAGTCCGCTCTAAGATTAGCTTGCTGACATTTTAACTAAACATTTGTGGGGACATAGAATAAATTATATGTGACAAGCTCAACCCATATGATATATGCACTCCAGCTTAGGGGGAGTGTTGAGATATTGAGATATTTGGTATAATTTGGGAATATAATAGTTCTCACGTACTAATTGTGAGGATAGCCAAAAGATAGAGAAGAGAGAAAGAGAATATTTTTAAATTAAAATTATTTAATTTTCTTCGAAACATTAGTTTTAGGTGGATTGGATATCCATCCATAAAAATAATTGTTAATGGATGAATTGAATTTTTTAAATGAATCCTGATGCATTTAGAGATTGTTTTTATCCAACTCATTATAATTCGACTAAAAAATTATCTGATCCATCCATTTGTCACCCCTATTAAATAAATTCTAACCGAAATTTGCTAGGGAAGCCACTTATACAATTGGATAGTTGGATCTCTATCTCATGAGTAGTTGAGTCAATTGAGCATGTGTGCCCCATTTAGGTTTTGTTTGGATAAAAGTGAAATTGAGAGAAATAAATTGGAGAGGAAAGAATTAGAGATGATATTAATTGAAGTGATTTTTGAGTGAAATTTGATATATTGTTTGGATTGGTGGAATTATGAAGGAATAAATGTGATTTATTTTCATTTGTTTGGTTGTATAGGAAAGTCAAGGAAAAGAAATAAAAAAATATTATAAAAGATAAATCTATTCATATAATTAAATTAAATAAAATTTAAAACAATTTTAATTTGATAATCTAACAAAATTTACATTATAATTACTACATATTTAAGAATTTTATTTTATTACAAATTAAATTTATTTCATGCATGTTCTAATGTTTTATATTTTTATTTAAATAAATTTAAATGCTATTTATTCATATAAAATCATAGCCCAGGAGCTATGAAGTATAAACACTCGCCGTCAAATAAAAGCGAAGCAGCTTTTGTAACTTGTTATTTCCCTTTAAAATGGAAAATGGAATTTTGTGGGGCCCCTGGATTCTTATTACTTTCTTTCCTGATTCTCTACCAACCAAACAAACAAAGAAAATATACAACCTCCCTCCTAAATCCCTCCCTCTCAAAACACCCAAAACAAACAAAGGCTTAGAGAAGCAAAAGGAAATTAACCAACCAAGACAAAGGCCATATTTCAACAACTTAAACTTGCCAAATACCGCACAAAAGAAAGAATGTGTCAAATCTATGTCAACCTTCAAGATTTCAATACCAAAGCACCAGCTCACATTTGCATGCATTCAGACAGATGAGCCAGTGTATCAAATTTGTAACTTGTATAGACCAGACACCCAATGAAGATAAAGAATAAAACTACATACTATGATAGTACCTCAATATATCATCTTCCAGTTTCCTTGATCTGCCAACGAAGTCTGTAACTTTCAAAATGTAATGATCAGTTTTATTGGATGATTTACACTTCTCAGGCAGCCTACAGAACATATCACTCAAAAATGTTAATTGCTGCAAGGAGCATAATGTAATACAGCAAAGGAATTGATAACAGTGTACAACAGCACAAGAGTTAACAGTAGCACATCATTCAATGACTTGATATTATAATATGATTTTAGCAATCCAACTATTGAATTATAACTATTCATTACATTGATTGTTGCCTTAATTGTCAAATCTTATAAAACTTGAACAATAAATATTAAAATATATCTTAATTTCATCTATTTCAAAGGTATATATCATGTTAATTTTGATGCATATCAACAAAGTAATAAATTTTGGATTAATGCAAGACCTACACATATGATCTATGTGACAACAAACTTTCAATCCTATGGTAAATTTTGGGAAGTAAAAAGTTATTAGAGTGATTTGACTTGCACCAATGTAAACACAGATCCCTTATAGATACATCATAGATGTCAATCCCAAATACAAGTGCAGACTGCAGAGTGGCAGATCCTGAATGCAACAGCAGGATTGCATGTAGCAGGAATTTGGATTCTATTCTAACCAATTGGAATAAAAAATATAAAAAAAAAATAAAAAACTAATGGGTAAAACTAAGAAAAGAACACAAGACAGTAAGATGATAGACCTGTTATAGAGAGACTAAAAATACAGAACAACACGGGGGCAGAACAGAGCAAGGCAGCAAAGGTCAAGGTTGGCCAGAAATAGTTACAGGTTCTCCAGAGAAAATGGCTGCTGAGGTCTCGGGAATTATTGGAAACTATGGATAACAGAGGCTGCAGAGGTTTGGGGTGGCCAAAAACTGTCACAGCTGGCCAGAAAATGTATAAAGGGTGCGAGTTTGTCAGAACGGAGAACAGTCGGTGCTACTTCGTAAGAGTTTGCAGGTGACCGAGAAAGTAGAGTTTCAGTCCTGATTCAAAGGCATGGGCAAAACCCTTATTTGACCCCTAAATGACACTGTCTGGTTAAAATAGGATTTTGTCTGCAATCACAGCTGCTACTTTAAATTGTGACAATTCAATTTTTGTAGCATGCTCCAGCCAACTACGCAATAGCACCACTATTTGGTGCTATTGACAACTATGACATGCATACACATTTGAAAAGAGGGGGGGCGGGGAGACTTACAGGTCCTTGTTAGCAGCAGGCAAGAGTGTATCACATCTAGACCATGAGATAGAACTGCATGCTTCTCCTAAAGCTAATCTGGCAACAGAGTAGACCACACTCTCATGATGCAACTTCACATCTGCTACAAGAGCTGAAGCTGGAGGAGGGCTAAGTAGTTGCTGCATAAGCTGTGTAGTCAAGACAAGTCTTCTTTTTGACTTCACCACTGCTGACAAATCTTCGACTACCTCCACATTGTCTTCAACCTACATTTATAAAGAGTAAAGTGACTTCATCAATTATATAATTATATATTCACAAGTGAAGGTCGGTTTAATCATAACAAACCTTCTCAATCAGTCTATTTGCACTTCGAGCCCAGTCTAATTCTGCCACACTGTCAAATAATAAGTAGTTTAAGTTATAGGAGAGAACAAATACTTGATATATTGATAAACATGAAACAATAATGAAATAGTCACACTGACACTGGAAGCATGGGGCATTTTTTTTTTCAAAACAATTGAAATAACACAATTTCAACTGGTGACACAGGATCTTTTCCTACATCAACAATAGTAACAACAAAATATATGCACATTAAATCACTTAGTTTTATTAACCACCTGATATCTCGAAGCCTTTCAGAACCCTGTAACAGTTCTTTATGCCATGGTAGAAGTTCAGAAGTGGCACTTTTTCTCTTCTTCGGTCTCGTAATAAGTAAGTCATGTTCAACAGCAGGTGTTGATAACTGAGAATCTGCATGCTCACTTGCAACTGAAGCAGGCATTGGACTTTGCCTAGCATTACTTAGTTGAGCATCACTGACACTGTTAATTTGCTCTATTGAATTGTAAAAATGCAAACTATCTGATTGGTATGGTACAACAAAAGGCTGGTCGATAATCTTAGAAGCAGTCATCTTCTGTACATTATATGCTGGCAACATCGTACCATTCTTAAAAGTTCCATATCGCTCAAACCATGATGGTGCCATCTGAGGATTTACCAGAGAATACTCACTCTTAGAAGTTGCTATATTACTGTCAGTGGCATTAAGTGCATTTGTGTCCTGTCCATCAAGCGGCTTTGTTGAAAACCTTGGCATATTAGGATCTGATGATGGCATGGAATTATTACCTGACCCGTCTTTGACTACATTATCATATCCATATGACAACTGTTGCCCATTATTGGAATCTACCAGCTGTTTGTCCACCACATTATCAGAAACTTTCAATCTCTTGACATCACGAATACTAGGATCAGTCTCTGCATTTCTATCAGTCTCTGCATTTCTATCAGTCTCCGCATTTCTCATGGATTGAACTTGATCCAACAAAGAAAAATTATGATTCAAAACATCGTTTTGTCTTAAAGATCGGCCAAAAGCTTCAATATCTCTGGAGGTAGCAGCGGGGCTAGGTTGAGATACATCAAACATATGTTTCCCAACAGCTTCCTTCAGGTGTGATGCACCTGCAGCCTCTTCAGCAGCGACAACACTTTCAGGCAATGTCTGCTTCACAGAGATTTCTTGAAGCGAATTCCCCACAGAACTATTGAAGTAAGCAGAACAAGGACCAGTACCCGAAAGGTCATTACCATCTTTTACCAGACCCTCGTCACCTGGCTTCTGTGAGCCAACTGCCATTTCACAATCATTAATTTTCTGGGGCGAGGATAGAAACCTTGAAGCATTAGGATGTTGCTTGTTAGAAACACTGGTCCATACATTGTGCGGAACTTTTGAAGTGGAGCCATGTGGAGATTTACTAAATGTAGCAGAAGGTTGGGTGCCAGCCTCTGCTGTCAAACTTTGGATGGTGGGATCTCTCAGATGATCTTGGTCTATACCGCTCATCTGGGACATGTCCTGAGCAGAACCCAAATCAGACTGACTAGTTTGAGCTTTTTCACAATATTCATCTGCCTGGTTCATTGAAGCAGTGAAATTTCCATTAGTAGATTGAGTATTTGCAATACCAAGATTTGTCAAATTTTGATTTTGAGTATGAATCCTGGAGAAAGGAAAGCCAGATGTAAAAGCCTGAGGAATGTTTCCCAGCATGCCATATTGCGAGGCCTTATCAAAAATTTGTCCTGTGGTGCTAGAAATATTACTCCTAAGCTCCCCATGAGATGGATCCCGGGTAGGGAAAGTCTGATGAGTACCCAACCACATATGGTCCCTTTCGCTTGTCTCAGACACATGTAGTGTAGTATGACGATCTGTCTCTAATGAGCCATGAGAAGACACCACAGGAAGCCTTTGAGTAGGAGGAGCTAATTGTAAACCAAAGCCCTGAGACAAAAAACTTTGATTCTGCTGAGGATGTACAACAGATCCATCAGAGGATTCAGTTTCAGGCACCCTGGAAGATAAATGGCAGTTAGAAAAACTTGTGTTTGTTGCAATGCCATAAACACTTGACCAGACAACTTTAGGGAAAGTCTGATTAGTACCCAACCACATATGGTCCCTTTCCCTTGTCTCAGACACATGTAGTGTAGTATGACGATCTGTCTCTAATGAGCCATGAGAAGACACCACAGGAAGCCTTTGAGTAGGAGGAGCTAATTGTAAACCAAAGCCCTGAGACAAAAAACTTTGATTCTGCTGAGGATGTACAACAGATCCATCAGAGGATTCAGTTTCAGGCACCCTGGAAGATAAATGGCAGTTAGAAAAACTTGTGTTTGTTGCAATGCCATAAACACTTGACCAGACAACTTTACAGAGAAGCTTGAGAATATTTTGACTACAATGATTTTAACAAATTGAAGCAAACAGTTGACCTAGGGTAATCACGTAAGTCATGCAGGAGTATATAGTAGGCAAATGAAGAAATAGTACATGTAAAACAGGTATCAGCACCAATTAGTCTAAGTAAAGGGGTAAAAGAATGCATGCGATGGCTACCTTTCATGACAGAAAGCAGAATATTTCAACAATAATTATGCAGGAAGTACCACATGATAACACTAAATTTACACGTTTAAACTAAATCATGAAGAATTTTTTAAATTCAACTACCTGGGTGAAGCAGTCCTCTGTGAGGCATAATTCCCAACACTTCTATCCAATGAGGTTAATTTTTTTGACATTTGACCAGGCAGTATGCTTTTTGAAGGATTATTATCCAAGATTTTTGAGTCATCCTGAAAATCAGGTGCATCCTTCAATCGCATTAAAAAAGATACAAGCAACTTCAGATTCTTCAAGACAGGAAATTTTCAGCGAATAATACGGACACTTGCATAAAACTATATAACAAGGAAACTTACAAATTACCTTATTCATTTGATTATAATTCCCTTCAGAATGCCCATATTTTGACTGTCCAGGATAGCTTTGGTCCTGATCTTTAAGTCCTCCAAAGGGTTGATGGGGCATAGGCTGTGAATTGAACCCATGTTTGTTTCCATAAGGTTCAACTTCAACACCCAGATCCCCCATTGGGTGATACTGAAATTTACGAGTTACAGGAGGCCTTCGATTTCCCTGACCAGATAACTTTGGACTATGCAAATCATTGCCATCAAAACTGGTATTTTCTCTCATACCACCAGCTCTAGGAAGAGATGCATTCGATCCAACACCATCTGCTAATTTTTCCTTTTGGTAAGGGTTCTCAAAATCATGAGTCTCACTTTCTACCTTTCCATTCTTTGATGATTCCAAAACTAAGGGGTTCTTCTCCATATGATGCTTATACTTTCCTGGACCTTCATTTCTTTTATAGCTCCCTGCAGACTCTGCATCCCTCCATTCATCAACATTAGGGAGCTGCTTGCTGCTTTGCCGGCTGAACCATGCGATGCCTGAATTTGGCGATGCAGCAATACCATTTGTACCAGAATCTTCCCCACAAACCTGCATATTACCTGCAGACTTCACATGTTCCCCTCCAATAGATGAATTAGTATCAGAATCAGGTTCCCACATAGCAGGAACCTGTCCCATCTCATGCATGGCTTTCTCATGATGGGGCTGAAATGAGTTTTCATTTTCAAGGGTTTTGAAATTTGAACTCCTATCAAATGGCGGTGATTTCATAATATCCCATCCATTAGATTTATTGAAAGGATCACCACTACTATTACCTGACAATATGCTCTGTTGATTTTTTTCTAAACTTGAAGAGTTAGCAGCATTTCCAAATATATGACCCCCTTCCGCAAGTTGTTTTTGCTGAGGACTGCAATCTAACCATTTGCCTCTTTCCAAAAACTGTGGAATTGATCTCTGAGAATTGTTCTCTAACTTTTCATGCTGTTCGTGTGAAGTATCAAGACCTAACTGATGAAACCCAGAAACACCAGAATAATTTTCAGTTGCATTTGGCCTACAAACATCATCAGATCGAAGAAAAGGTCTTGAATTTATATTGGATGCTGATTGCAAGTTACTGTCACTCCAAACAGATTGCTGTTTGCTGCTATCAATTGTTGAAGACCGCTCATTTCCAGATGACCGTCCCATATTCCGAAAACTTGAACCACTCAACTCCTCTTGTTTGCCTAAGTCACTACTAGAAGTTTCTGCCACAGCAGACTGCATTAGTGCACTCCAACTCCCACTCTGAATAGATGGAAACCCACCTAAACTATCCATACCATCCAGCATACTGAAACCACCTGTATTCCTGCCAAATCCATCCCACAGGTTGTCATCTGAACCAAACAAAATCTTCTCCTCAGTTGGATCTAAGGTAGCCACATTCTGTGAAGGAGGAGCCTGCACTAGCATCTTCTCCTGCGACATCTCCAAAGATCCAGCTAGTTCTTGCCTCCCATGAAAATCTTGCATTGGCACAATTCTTGGCTCAGAATTCACTTGCTGCAAGTTCTCCATATTCAGTCCACTATTTATACCGCGAGCAGTAGAACCAAACATACTTTTTCCTTGAACATCCTGCCTTGAAGCTGAAGCCCCATCATTTGTGTTAATTTGATCTGAAAATGCAGCATATTGATGAGTAGCAAATGAATTATCACCGGCTGACATCTGCTGCAGTGCAGGTTTGTCCCCGTGAACATGAGAATACTGGTGTGGGATAGATACAGGAGGCATTGCAGTCTTATCTGCTTGAACATGAGAATACAGGTTAGGAGTGCCTCTTGAACCAGAAATTGGAACCCCGTAAAGAGACTGATCACCCTGATTAGGAACCAAACCCATCATGCGCAATGCTTGTCCTTGTTCAGGGGATAACATAAGACCATTAGAGGACCCATGCAGAACTGGAGAGGCACTGTGCTGGAGCCAATTAGCATTATTCTGTATAACTTCAGGCTGCCATATAAGGTTAGATGCTTCATTAATAGGAATGCCACTGATGAGAGATGCAGAATGGCTAGAAACTGCCTGTTTTGAAATAGAGGAAGGTGGAGTCATAGAATTCTGTTGCTTTGCTTCTAATTGATGAAATTGTTGCTGCCTCCGAATTTCTTGCATCTGGTTAAGTACTGCTTGCTGCTGTAATAGATTCATTTCATTTATTCCTGGCTGCTGTGTGGGTAGAGGTTGAAGCATTCCACTATGTCGTCCACCTATTTGCTGTTGACCTCCAAAAAAATCAAAATTGACAGGAGATTCAGCAGCATCATTCCTAGCCATGTTTTTCTTATAGAGTTCAAGAGCACTCCCTTGTGACTCCAGCACTGATATTCCTCTTGACAGATTATGCCAATCAGATTCATTCTCCAGTCCCATAATGTTAGCTTCATTCTGCCTGGTCTGAAACACCTGTTGTCCCTGAATATAGCCATTCACAGCTGACTGTTGGTTTGGCAGCAGATTTCTGCCAGACTCAGGCCTCAAACTAGACTGAGATAGGTTCAAACCATGTCGCAAATGTGGAGAGCCTGCGTGCCCCTGCTCAGGATCTTTGTGCCAGGAAAGGCATATGATTAGTATTTAATAAAGACAACCACAAAACACATAACAAAGTTAAATTTACGCTAAAGTGTAGCTATTTAAAACCAAGGTAAATGTACAAAAATGGGTACTATGTAAAAAAAAAAGTGATAAAGGATTTGAAATTAAAAAAATAAAAGTTTGTAGAACCTTTACAACTTCTTTACCTGATTGCTGTTGATTAAAATTCTTCAAATTGGAAAAAAAAGGGACACCAGTTGGTCTCTGGCTACCAGCCCACAAATTGTTGCTTAGTCCTGTCCAGTTCCCATCAACCGCCTGAGAATGATATTGTCCCTGGGACAAGTTCTCTTGACCAAAAAAATTATGGACCCTGTCTCCTACTTCGTTTCCAGGCATAGATAATAGAGCCCACCAATTTTCAGCAGACAACTATTATTATAAAGGTCTAGTAGATCAAGGAAAAAAGTTAAAAATGAGACAAACTACATAGCAGAAAGATCAAGAGAAGTTTCTCCAAGTGTGATGCTGTCCAAAAACACACCTCTGAGCAACTACCGCATAACCCTTGAAATTATTAAAAAATCCCTGCAAGTAAAAAATCCATTTGGTGTAAATTAATTACCAGAATAATTGTGAAAAATGTGAGAATAACACTAACATACATGTCAATTGAATCATAAATGCCATACTTGGGCACTATTTAACCAAATGCATCATGTCATTTTATAGTATCCTTTTGTTCTGAGATAACAAAATATGAGAGTGGGTTATGATATCGGACCACAATCTCCTTAATGCACAATAAAGAGTACAAAGGATTTTGCACAACAGTGACATCTCACAAGCCAGCAATATACAATGCAAAATTAGCTTTCCAAAGTGAATCCCACAACAATGTTTCTATTTTGCACACCCTATTTGCAGCTTCTGCCCTCCATTTGGAAATGGGTGTTGTTCTCATGGGGCATTCAGTCCTATAATCTGTGTTATTTCATACTGACATCCCACTAGTATTTAACTATTCCTGCAACTAACTATCCTCAAGACAGTTGCTAAAATATCGCATTTGTGGTCCCCATGCCAGCCTACCAGGCAGTTATTCTGCAAATAGATAATCAAAGCAGCAATTCATTACAAACCCATAACAAGTTAACACCTAAAGGAGTATCCAAAAACTTCAAATCATCAGTAGTCTCAAAATTTTCCCCTTTTGTACTGCATGTACACATACAAATTAACTGCAGATAAGATGATATTCACCAAAAGCATCCATCATCTCCATTCATTCCTAACTGATTTATGTGGTATCCAAACGTATAGAATTTCAAGCATAAAACCTATTTTTAACAACTACCCAAATTAACTAAATATACAATCAACATACATAAATTTTTTACACAACTCAGATTACCAATACAAGAAAATGAAGGATGAGGTAGAAATTTTTATGTTCAGCATGTGAATATAAAAATTCTCTCTGCTAGTCCAACCACACATGAATGGTCAAGATTAAGAGCTATTTAATGTTAACAGTAGCATGACAACTTTAAAAAATCACGTGACTTTATGTTTTAATCTTACTGTGTGTTTGTTTTTCGGTTACGTTGAACGTAACCCAAAAGCAACACATGAGTTGCTTTAGCTTTTTTGCATCGGAAAGTGGAAAAATTCCGTTTAAGTAGTTTTGAATGGATTTCCAAACACACATTTAATCATTCATGGTTAAATAGATTAAATCTAAATTATGGTAATATCCAAGATTGTGTACAGTCCTGAAGCCATCATTTTTCACTTATGCTAAATTAAAAGGCATACCAATTAGTTTTACATCCATGCGAGTGTAAAACAGTTCATATTTTCTATTGTATCTACACTACAGGTGCTAATGATTACAGGGTACATTGAGGTAAGACATCAGCATGACTTTACTTGACCACATATCCCGACTTAGTTTTGAAGCTAAGGCAAACCAATAACCCAATACCTTAAGAATAATCACACAAATTTTCAATAAGTCCTTGCTATCATTTCATGCCATTGAAGCACTTGCAAAGCCATTCTCAGTTAAATAGAAAACAGCGATCCAACTAATTTGACCAAGTGACCGAAGTTGCACCAATGTTGTATTCCAAGGCCTATTTTCTATGCTGTAACAACATTGTACCTAAAAATGGAGTCTAGGAGGAGAGAGAAAGAGAGGCAAGCAGGGATTTCAAAAACTCAACCTAGCTATACCTGGTAAAGATCCTATAAAATTTTCAAAACTACTATATAAATTAAGCATTAAATAAAGCACTTCATCACAGACACAAAATATTTCAAACTCTCCTCCCTCCTCAGAATTCCTTATCCAAAGGGAGCCTTATCTTGAATAGACTTCCCACGGACGCCAAAAATTCACGGCGACCAAACAAACAGTGGAGAACAATCAAGCGCCAAAACTAAATAAAATCCAATCAAGAACACGAACAAGTCACCAAAACCGAATTCAATTTCCCTTCTTCAGTTTCAGTTCTTCTCGAAACCGAACGAGGCAAAATACGCAAACATTCAATTACAATTCCCTCCACGAGCTCCAGCACCAGCTGAGCTAAAACCAACCGCGAAAACACGATAACGCGCAAGATCGGAAGCGCGTGCGCAATTCCGTTCCAGAGCAGCATTCGAATCGACGGCACCGCGCAAAACAACTGAATGAGACTCAGAGATTGCACCGCACGCATAGATTCGCTACGTCGTTATTTATAGAGACAGAGCGAAAGAGGGAACTAGGGTTTCTAGAGAAAGAAAGAGAGAGAGAGAGAGAGAGAGAGAGAGAAAGAGAGAGAGAGAGAGAGAGAGAGAGAGCAAACTCACAGTGACATTGAGAAAGCTCCATTGAAGGTGATCCTCGAAACGCGAGCGTTTAGGGTTTGGTTTGGGGAAGGGGCGCGTTCTTTTGTTCTTGGTCGCTCGGACAGATAAAAAAGAGTGATCGAAATAGTGAGTGAAATTTTCAACGAACAAAGAGAGGGGCAGGTTCGGAGAGAGAGGGTGGGTGCTTCGGATCCGAGGCTGGGCGTTTCTCGCAATTCGGGAAGCGTTTCAAAGGGGAAGAGGGTGTGAGAAGAGTTGTTGGGGGCAAAGTGGGTAAATGGAAAATCGGGTTGCTGTCCAATTGCCTGGTGACAGGTGGCACCAGCACAGTGGGACCCGCACCAACCCCTTCTTTTAACTGCGTTGTTCTTTGTTTTACGACTTAACCGTTTAAAATAACTAAAAATTAAATATATTTTTAATCTTCATTTTTTTTTTCTGAACAATTTTTTTTTATTAATATTTTAATTGTTAACGTCAAAAAATTTTGTTCTTAAAAAAATATGAAAAATTAAAATTAAATAAAATTTATTTAAGAGTTAAAAATTAAAAAAAAAAATTAAAAACATATTTAATCTCGTAAATAATTGTCATTATTTTGTGTGATTTTTTAAAACTCTAATAATGTGTTTGGATAGGAATTTAAATGAAATAATTCATTTATTTGAAAGATTTTAAATTCTTTGAGGTGAAATAACTTGTTTGGATGAAGAATTTATAAAGAAATTGAAATTCAAGCATTTATGAAATTTTTTGAAATAATACAATTGTAATTTTTTCAAAAAAAATAAAAATTTAAAATTTCTTATTTTTTTCATAAACCAGAAACACGAGAAGAGTGTTACCTTGAGAATAGGTATGGCAATCTAACCCATCCTCGTGGGTACCCGCCCGAACTCACCCCGATTTGGATGGGGAAAACTCGTGTTTATCGGATTCGGGTTTTCCCCGATTGATAAAATCGGGGACGGGGACGGGGGCGGGGGCGGGGATGTTAATACCTACCCCGCTCCTGCCCCCATACCCGCCCATGTTCCCGCCCCGCTTAATAATATAAT